CCTGTGTCCCTGCCTGGCCTGACAGTGTCCCCTTCATCCATTCCTACATCACCACTGTCCTCTGCAATGACATCAGTAAGCACTTCCATCAATCCATCATCTAGTTTGTTCTCTCATGGCAAGAAGCATAAAAGCGACACCACTGCCAGGTGCAACACCACATCCACAGCAGCTTCCCTGGGAAGTTCCAGCAGTTCTTGGAAGCAGTGCTCGCAGACAGCTGGCCTTGAAGATGTGGTGCAGGATCTAATGTCCAGTGTGCAAGATGGTACCTCCAAGACACTCGCCACCCTCAACAATCCCATGGGCTGAAGTCTCAATGAAGCATGTGCATTGATGTTTGAGCTTGAGAAGAACCTTTCAGAGCAGAACCTAGTCCACTTGCAAATGTTGTTTGAAGAGAAAACCTCCTATGTTGTGGGTTACAAGAATGCTGCTGCTCAGTCAGCAACATACCAAATGTTGTGGGTTAAGATGAGGCTCAAGGCCACTGGTTACAAGGTTCCAGAATATGTGAATTTGGGGGGGAAATAAGTAGTTTGTCTGTACTTGTGTGTCTATACAGCAATCACCACTGTTTTAAAATTGCCATGCAAGCATGAAAATTGAGGGCAGTGTGAGTCAAAGTGTGGTTCAGTGGTGAAAACCAACCAAAACCAACACAAAAGACAAAAAGAGAAAGTGGTGGTATGCCTATGCAGTACCTAGATGGTAGAACCATTGATTTGGGTGGGTTTTTGTGAGCTACAACACTCAAAGATGAGTGCTGAGGGTTGGGGGTGCTCCTGACAAAGAAGGAGCAGGAATGCAAGAGAATGCAATAGGGTAGACTGCTGTCAGCCTACAGAAGGATGGATGATGACTTAATTTGATGCTCTAAGCTGCACTGAGCTCAGGGAGGGCTTGGAGTGAAGTATATTGATGATAGACAAGGATAAGCAAAGTAGATGATAGTTAGACCCTTAATAAAGTCTCAACTATTGAAGCTGATGGAGGATTTACTGAGTGATGATAAAATGCAAGCAAGAGGGGCTCTCTGACATCTTCTTTTTTTGCTATCTAAGTACAGTGATTTATATACAGTACAGGGGTGTTGCCCTTGGAAAACAAGGTGCAAACACTTGGTAAGTGATTGGTAACTGATGAGTAAGGAATGTAAGTGATGGGTAATCATCTTGGAAAGCATTGGTAAGGATTAGCAAGCCAAAAAGTGAAGAATCAGTAAGCAAAGTCAAAAGATTGGTCAGTATTTGCAATAGGTGAGTCAAAGGCAGTCAAAACATCAAAGTATGAGTCAAGTAATGTCAGGAACTGGGAAAGCACACTGGAATCACATTAGGGGGAGGCTGTGCATGTCACATCTCAAAGAGATCACTTCTAGGCCAAGGTGGGATGACAGAGAGGCAGTGCTGATCTGATGCCAATATAGTATATCCAAAAGTGGACAGGGTGAGTGAGATGTCAACAGGGGTCAAGCTTTGGGGGTCTGTGGGGTGACAGGAGCATAGGGGATTGCAACTTTCCCCCCCAAACCATCCTCTCAGTGAAGCAAATAAAAACTTCATGAATGAGGCTCTGTTGGTAGAGAGGATGAAGGGGGAGTGTCTTCTGCTGTATCTTGCAATAAGGAGGCAAGATGTGCATCATACTTGTCATGGATGCAATCAGGGAGAGTGGAGAACAGTATATTATACTGTAGCTGTCGCAATCTTGGAAGAATGATGGATGAGACTGGTACAAAGACATTGCAGGGAGCAGAGAGGAAGGATCCATATGCTTCTTGGACTGGAGAGACTGAAACAACCACATAAGGCCTTTCCAAGTGAATGACAGACCTGAGGCAACCAAAGAACATCCTCCTAGAGGTCATACTGACAAAAAGAACATGCTGTCCAAGCTGGATGGGCTGAGAGGGCACAGACAAGGGTGGGATGTACCAGGATGCTTCAGGATGGAAGCTGGTAGGAACTCCTGGTAGATATATGTAGCCATGGTCCCTAGCAAAGGGGACAAGTGAAATGATTGATGTGGAGGTGGCCATATCAGAAGAATTAGTGAAATGAGTGTCTTTTGGAGGGAGTGCTGTAGAAATGTGTGGAGTGCACAAATCCTTTCCAATTTTGGAAGGTAGGATCATGTGGCTGAGCACTACAAGCAAGTGTGGGAATGGTCTCAGTATCTGCAGAAACAGTGGAGATATGTTGAAAACCAGAATGCTGTACACAGGTGCTTAACCCACTCCCTTTCTATTTCTTTGGCACTGATGACTCATTCTTGTGCAAGGGATGACTGCTGACATTTCTGGCTGTCCTTCTTCACATGAGGGCTATGGTCTTCACCTCCATTCATCAGCTGTGTCCATGTCCACCTCACCAAACACCTTTGGTGTGTGACAGTGGATAAGACATGGATGAAATTTGAGGGCAACATAGTGAATACATGGATATTATTCAAAACTAGCTACTGAACTACTGAATCAACCCCTTTTTGCAAGCTCAGCACAATAATCTTCCCACATTTGTGCTGCAATCATGTCACATGTGGCATTCATCTGACTATGCAACCCAGCATTCAATGGAGTATCTTGCAAGCTTCTGACATCCATTTCTTCAGATGTTAAAAGTGGCCTGTCATCTTCATTGAATTTGTCAGGATTTGGCATGTCAACATCATCAGGATTGTGGAGGCAGATGATATTGTGAACACAGCATGCTGCCACAGGCAAGTGGGACTGGATTGCCATGTCATATTCAAGTGGGAGAATGAGGGTTTGAAAATGTTGCTTTATAACTCTGAAGTTATGCTTGATGTCATTTCAGAGCATGGCATGGTGAAGGTTGAAAAGCTCTTTGCCATCCCTCAGCCTGTAGGGAATGAATGAGAATCAAATGCACATAAAAATGTAGTGGTACTTTCCATAGATTGGCTTGCCCCCACTCAGCCAAATGATAGTGTTGGCCACAGTATGGTATGAGTAGCTGTGGAGTCAATGGATACCCTGCATCAGCAAGGTAATACTGCCCATCAGGAATAGCAAAGTCCTGCAAGCAGGCATTGTGGTAGACCATGGCATCAGCAGCTGACCCTTCCCAGCCTCCAAGAACATATGTGATGATACCATCAAATGAACATGCAATGAGACAGTTTTGAGATAAGAAACCCTTGCAGTTGTACATAAGGTCTTGTTCACTTGTGGATGGTGCACATGCAATGTGTGTACCATTGAGGGCACCTATGGCATCTTTGAAGTATGGATAAAATTTGGGATTGGTGGCAATATGACTGGGGACTGGTGAATCGGCTCTGGGAAGGCAAACATATGTGGTATAAATGCAACCCTCAGAGAATGCATGGAGCATTCATTTAAAATACCTGGGTAAAGTTTAGCAGAATTTCAATCCAAACGATAGTGCACTCACCATGATATTGTATCCATTGAGCATTGGAATTGCTCACTGGTGTACTGAGCCAATAAGCCTGTCACCATTGCATACAGGAAAATCACCAGCTGCTCCTCTAATGTGACATTCTTCAAATCTTGGAGATCCCCTTCATGAAGGATGGATATCAGCCTGAGGAAGATATGTTTGTGGACACCAAGCTCAGTTCTGATCTGCTTTGGGTGCCCATTAAGCAACTCATCTAGCCATCCCTGTCCTGAAAGAGCAGATGTATGGTAAGGTTCTGGGGTAGTGCTTCAAAGTGTTGAGACTGCAGCCTGGTATAGACTGAGTGTAGTGGCAACCACCATGTAGTTCTGAATCTGCTGCAAGACTAGCACCCTCCAAGCAATATCAGATGAGGTATCAGAATCTTCATCCTCCTCATCCAAATCGTTCTCATCCCTTGCAACAATAGGGCAATTCTCGACCATAGCAATGGTCTCAATAGTGTAGTGGCATATGAGGTTGATTGCCATGTGACCACAGACAAGTATCAACTTAGAAGTCTGCTGAACTCTGCACAGAGTTGGTTTGTATATGTTTTGCATAAGGAAGTGGAAATTCCACTACTGTTCAGGCCCTAAGGTACACAGCCACCCTGTAGACACAATCAGGATTGCATTGACAGTGACACAAGCCTGACACCTAGAAAATTGTGACCAGACACTTCGACATACAGATTGTGTTTGACAGATATTGACGATAGATGTGCCTGCTCCAAATGTTATGTGAGGCTGACACGATTTCCAGAGCTGTCAATTTGGGCTGCCCATTGTGCTCCCAATTTCACCTGATCACAGTATGCTCGTTCACCCTGCACATAAAAAATGCATAGCTTGCATGTATACATAAATCAATGCATAGGTTAACATAGAAATGGTAAAGCATAGATAACAGCCTGTTAATACTAGAAATTCTTGCTCAGCAGATCCTCATTACTGTCCTTGGCATGCAAACACTCCAAGCGATGACCACAGGTGGGTTGCAGTGATGCATTGGTCTCGGAGGATTGCCTAATGATGGATGGCTGGGCTATATGAGATGTACTGTGATTTCCAGGAGTAGGCAGCATGTGAGGGGCAGAAGAAATGGTAGCTGGTGATTCTGTGTACATGCTGGGGAGAGGCAGTAGGATGGATCCAATGTTCTTGCCATACAGTTCTTGATCCTGAGTGATGATTGAGTTGAAAAACCTACAAGTATATAAATATCAGTCACCAATAACAAGCTTGAGCTACTTCCTCGCACCATTTATCATTCTTCATGTCCTTTCCAAGCCATCAAGATCCTTTGAAAACATGTGGTCGATTATGCTCCAGAAGTCATAACCTGTTTTGACTCTGCCAGGGGGGGCCTTGTTACTTACTGTCCTGACATGTTTTGCAGGTGGTTCATTCATAGACCCTTTGGCACTTGCTTGTGTGGCCCCTTCACCACCACTCTCCAAGTCACTATCATCACTCATGGTTCTCCCCACAACATATTGATGGGCCCTCCCATAATAATGCTGCAAGCTTGATCAGTCAGTAAAGGTTGAGAGAAGAGTCTTGTGTGACATACCAGGAAGGCAAAGTGTAGCTGATACTTGGCCTTCAAACCTGAACCTACACCACCACATTTGTATTTGCTGAGTACCATCCATGTAAGTTCTTCCAGCATCATGTGCGTCTTCCCTTCCTCCTGGCTGGTACTGTCCAGAAGCTGTGTGGGCAGTCAATAGAAAACATGATGTGTTTTCATCATGATGGAGCACCCACCAGTGTGTGGAACTTGTTTCAAACAGCACTGCACTCCTGTTTGATGGCCACATGAAGCACATGTTCATTTGCAGGGTTGTTGAATACATTCAGAAATCCTAACAAGTCGGCACACAATCTGAGTCATTCCTGTACATACATGTAAGTGGTTTGTAAGAGATGGCACACACTGGGATGTGCCTCAATGTCAACATGAAGGGTCTTGTACTTGGTTTGGCCTGCTTGCATGAGCATATCTTTGCATACAATCAAAATTTGCATCTGGTGTTGCTATTCAGCATGCACCATAATGAAATCAGTAAACAACAAACCATCTGGTCAACATTAAGTTGGAACCCACTTTGGAGCCCTGCCATAGCTGTCTCCACAGCATTCTTCATATTTGCCAGGTCAGTCTTGATCTCCTCAATCCCATTTAACACCCTGTAGTTGGTCACCTGCTGCCAGATTTGCAGGCGAAGGTCACCAGTCTGCAAGGTCTTGCTGACCTGGGCATGCAGACAAATATCAGTATGAACATTAATCGTCAAACACAGCACTTACATCGATGAGCATGCTGAGCTCTAAGAACTGAGATGCCTTGAGTTCAAACTTGGTTGCAACTTTCTGCACCCACAGCTTCAGCCACTTGACCTCTGGAAGCTTGATTCCCCTGTCAACATTGTCAGACATGGAGGACATGTGTGTGTGAGCAGGGGTTGTTGGAGCATCCCTGACACCACTGCCATGTGAAAACTGGCTTTGGAACTCATCATCAGATGCCCTTGACATTGGACACAACACATCAGAACCTGGAAGACCAGGCAACACATGAGATGCATCAGGAGTCATCATGCGTGTTGTGTTCAAGACATTGGGAGTCACTTGAGATGTGTTGGTCATGCGCAATGCAGTCACCTGCAAAAGGCATGGTGTTCCTTGACATGTGGGTTGAATCTTCTATCTCAACTGATTACACAAAGCTTACCTGTTGTGCTCCAATGCGACCTGAGCTCTGGTGTTGGGAAGCTTTTTCCCAGATCTTCAAAGGCGACATAGTGGCCATATTGATTGTGCTGCTGTGACATGGACTGATCTGTATGAGAACTTGATTGCAAGGGTTAGAAAAAAAAGAAGGGGAACAACTCATCTTATATGAGGTCCAGGTATTGGGGCTGACCAAACAGTGTCATCTGTTAAAAAAATTGCACTGTCAACAATTTCTGAGAGGTTGATTGACACTCACCATGAAATATTGAGTCATGTGTAACACATGGTCATGAGGAATCTGCATCTCACAGTCAAATGTGTGGATTGACCAGTGAAGATGTATGGACTTACCAGTCTGATGGAACACATTGATAAAGTGTGTTGGTACTGCCTGGGACATGCTTCTAGGAGGTTGTTTTGTAGCATTGGCTTGCAAGGTTTTCAGCATCTTGATTTTCTGTGCATTGAACTCAGCAGCTGTGCCAGTGTGGATTGCCCAATCATGATCCAACTGTTGTACCAGAGTGCAGAACTGTTGCACATGAGAGTGAGAGGCATCATGCATCTATGCAGTGTTCAGTATAAGGTCCAAGGGATCATGGTGCTCAATCCATTTCACAGTCTTTGTCATTTTCTCATGCTCTTCGTAGACTGATACTGTAGATGAACCAGTGCATCCATGTCCTGCACAATTGTGCTGGACATTGACACAACAGATAACAGCCTGGAATGAAGTGTGATCAGAACAAAGTCCATACAAAAAAAAAGCCCACTTACTGTCACTGGTAACACAACCCAACCCAGTGGCTGAATGTGTGGCAGGTGATAGATATCTGCAGAGCTGGTCACTTTGAATGTCTCGAGTAATAGCCAGCTTGCTTGATTGCACTGTTGGGCTGGTGAGTGACAAATCTGAAGAATTTCATGAAGAGATCCGATGAGGGGGAGTTCGTGGCCAGCAGCATGAGGCTCTCATGTGAGGACAAAGTCTCCAAGGCAGCATATTTCACCATTTGTTGCAACGATGGAGCAACAAGTTTGATAAAGACGACATTTGACCTGAGGCAGTGCATATGGGACCCATAATGCCATATTTGTCTTCTCAAGTGGCTGTGGACATGTCTTATCATGCACGCATGAACCTGGCATGTGAATGATATCACTAAGTTTGTGTATTCCACAGAAGCATGATTGACTCACCAGCTTCAAGGGGATCTCTATCATCTGTGAGCCCAAAGTAATCTGTGATGATGTTGCAGAATGTTGGGATGTCAAGGCTGGTCAGTGACTTGACCCCAGAGCCAGGCACCAGCCACTCATGCTCATTATTGCTGTAGGGGAGTTCAGTGAGTCCTTGAGCATGGAATTTACCACTGGACAAAAGATGGTGGACAGGATTACATCATGCCATTCCACAGGCAATGTCTCGGGAAGGCACTTGTCTGTTGCTGTGAATACTCTGGTCATGGATCATGGCATTGTAAGATTCAAACCCTTCTGTATCAAATAGCATTGCAGGACCAAAATGCTGGATGTAGTCAGGGAGGTGCTGAAGAATGTGAAACTTGGGCTTATTGAACTATTGTGGTGTCCAGCAGGCCGTGCAGTTGAGGAAGTGGTCAATTGCACCACACAAGTCGGCCTAAAAGTACATTAGTTGTGCTTGATCTTAGCAAAAAGTCGATGTATGACATACCAGGTGCCTGTCAATGTTGTTGATGCATGGTTGCCAAACAAGGGGCACCAGAGATGATAGTGCCAGAAACACTTTGTAGCACTCACGTGGAACAAGGTCATAGAGTACAAAGGGTGCTGCCTGGCATATGGCATGGAAATCACATCCAGTGAGAGACCCAGCATATTGAATGAACATTTGGGCTGCCAATGGAGGGATGCCAAGTCCCAAGGTATTGAATGATGCCAATTGAACCTGGAGCTCTGCTTTTTGATCATCATTCATCCTGGAGATGGCATCATGCCAGAAATACTTCACAAATCTGAGTAAGATGACATGCAGGACTTCCACAGGGGTGTCTTGATGGGGATCAAGGCCTGAAGTTGAGTAAGTGAGTGATGAAACAAGCGACTGATGCAGAGGATTCTTACCTTTGATCCTCCAAACAGGACTCATGAATTCTTCCACTGAATGGCCTTGCATAATTGCATTGACAGCCTCGGTAAATCCATCCAATCCCACACAAATGCCTTGGACATGCTTGAGGATCTGCTCAATGAACATGTCCATGTATGTATCTTTAATGCCCATGTCAGTCTTCATTTTCACATATCATGTCTTGCCCATGCCACTGGTGACTTCATGGAACATGCTACAGAGTTTCTCCACCATGTGTTGCCAGGTGCAAGGTGTGTTGGCCTTGAGCATGTTGAGACATCAGTATACCTTAACCTAACAAATTGTATACTTACTCCAAGGAAATGCCTTGCTTGATCAACAAGACCTTGCATTGTCTCCAAGCAGTGGCCCTTGCCTTTCAGCTGTTGTGTGACACCCCCATGAGTGGACCTGTCCAAGTCAGTCATGTGTGATGCAGTTTCAATGGAACAAGTGTTGTTGTCTGGTTGTGGCACCTGTGGGTGTTCACTTGATTCTGCCCCTACCCCTTGCACCCAGCAATTGTGACAAAAAAATTTACCCTGCAGACCAACATGGCATGCAAGTTCACTCTGCATCAGATTGTTGCCAAGCATCACCAGGACAGCAGGGATCACAAGAACCATCTCCCTTGCTTCTATGTCCCAAGCCCAAATGCCATGCATTTGTGCATGTCTGTAGCACAATGTGGTGAAAGCCTGACACAGTTGGAAGGGTTGAAATCAAACTTACTCGAGTTGGGCCACAATACCATCAAGCATTTCTAGGGGGGGAGCAATGTTAGATGTAGTGAAGAAATGGATGTTGCTCTCTTTGTGGACCAGAGCATGTGGGAGACCAGCTGCAGTGAAGAGAAATGAGTTGTGTTTGTTCCACTTCTTTGACATATTGCTGGAGGTGTCATCACAATAAAGCCATATCATGTAACTGAGGACATGGTGCCCCTTTGTGTGTGCATGCCATATATTCCAAACCACAGGATCAGTCAACATCCATGGGAGGACACCATGTCCTCTCGTCTCTATCAAACCTAATGCATGCTGAGTCTGAAATGAACAGAGGGGAAGGATGGGTGCCATACACACCTATGATATTGCATGGGTTGGGTTGACCATCAATCTGAGGTGTTTGAAGTGGGTGTGGAAATGAGAGGAGAAGACTGCTCACTGGCACCTTGATGGTATCATATGTGTGGATAACATATCCATGTGTGTGACTGCTCATGATGGGGTGAGCTTGCCATGTGTGGGCCCAATACTCAAGCTCAAAGGGAGGAGAAGTTAGTAATGCAGAGGGTTTTGTATACCAGTGCTTGGGAACAACCATTGTGCCATCCATCAACTTTGCCAGCTCAAACACATAAAACTCTTGATGGCCTTTGCAAATCATGGGTGTGGCAACAGTGGGATCAATCTCATACAGCCACCTCATCGCTTGCCACAGCTGGTCAAGTTGCCCCCCAGCATCTTCAGGGTAATGGCAGATATGTGGGCAGATGCATGGGTTTGCTGTTTCCTGCAAGGGTGCACTGTTATCAGTTAATGAATTGCAAGCTAAAAAATGAACTTACTTGTGCAATGATAGAAGGCAGGTGGTTGACATAATAGATATGGCCAAGTGCACCTTGATAACAGACCAATGGAATCCTGTATTGGGCCTGGAGGGAATTGTCAATATCTTTGAGTGTCTTCATGGAGGGAACATTATCAACTCTGAGGATTGCAAGTCCCCCAAGGATGACCTGAAGTTGTGCATCTGAAAATAACAAACACAGGAGGTGCCATAGAATGTCGAGTATGCATGTCTGTCAATTGAGTGAAATGATGTACCTGTTTATTGGGCCATGGGAACCATGCAGGATTTGCAGGTGCAGCATCACCTGCATGCTGAGACAAGCATGTCACACCTGGCTGAAGCGGCTCTGTGGAAGGATCAGTGCATTCAATAACTTGTGACAAGCATATATCACTTCTTACCTGGACAATATTTTTCACCTTTGACATCGGGGGAGTTGGACACATCTTCATCAGAGGAGATCACATCATCACCATCAGCCAACCATGCAGCCAAGCTGCTGGCCATTGTTGTTAGTTGCTCATCATGTGTGGATGGTAAATAGAGCTGTTCATGGTCAATGGCATCCCAGTCAAGTTGAAAACTACCATTGTTATTAGAGGGAGTAGCTGCCCATGGCACACCATGAGGAGGGGATCCTGATTCCGAGAAATCTGCTAAAAGGTTAAGCAGGGGCGAGGTCGGGTCAGGTTGGGATGGGGAACTTGAAGGGCAAAGATGAGGGGATAGAAGGTGGCCAACGTTCTCTTGATGGAGGGTGGTTTTCTCATGTTGTCAAGCAGAATGGACATCTCACCACTTGTTGTCCTTGCAGGCAAGGCATGACCACTTGTACTGGTTGCAACCAATTCCTGTTGCCCAGACTGTTTACATCATTTGTGGAGTCAATGCATTGGCAATGCTGATGTGATGTGGAGGCTGAGGCTTAGATGTAGTAACCTGAAGTAATCTGGAGTTAGGGGTGGGACTTACACTTGGGATGTGCAAACTCTTTGGTCATCACTATAATATGACAGTGAGAGTTGAACTTTGCAAAAAAAAAAGTACATTAAGCACTGCTTCTGAATGTCAAGATGCATTTCACTTGCATCCACTACAGTTTCAAAAAAAAAAGTCTCTAAGATTGTGTCTAGCCCAAACCATAGTGAAAATGCTATCTGACCTAATTGGGACTGTGTCAAACTCATGTTTCATGTGACGCAGTTCCACCTATTTCTCAGACTTAGTTTGTTTGTGTCACAAGGGTGGCCATGTAGTTCAGTCAGGGGCAGAGTTGGCCCATGGAGGAAGGTTATGTGGGTGGAGTACTATAGCAGAGGTTGATATGGGCCAGGTCTGTGTGGATAGCATTTGTGGAAAGCAGAGACTATGTCAGAAGCATGACCCAGCTCAATTGCAAGCAACCAAGAGGTTTCTTCATCAGTGTTCTTGTAACCAGCCCAGCAGACTAGGTACAAGAGTTGACAGTGGCAGTGATGGTGGTCCACCTTAGAGTCAAGTATCTCTGACACTTTGTACTCAAGGTCACCATTGACATCCACTGGCAGAGGTGGAGGTTGTTGTTGGTTTGGGAAAGGATTAGTTTCTGTGGCTTCCAGTTGTGAGACATGGAAGACTGGATGTACTGAGTGCATAGAGTCAGGGAGCTTAAGGGTGACAGAGTGCATACCTGGCCTGGCCAAGATGGTGAACAGACCTAAGTACTTTTCAGAGAATTTTTTTGAAGGATGAGTGGAGCAGAAGTACTTGGCTTTGATGTAGGCCTGTTCCCTGACCTTGATCTCAGGCAGAGGTATTTGTTTGGCATCTGCTGGACCCTGATAGCACTGCTGAGTGGCAGACATTTCAGAGCAGAGGAAATCATGGAGGGAAGAGAGCTCAACAACATAGTTGTGAGCCCTTGGAGAGGTGAAGTCTTGGTCAGGGACCCCAGACAGGTTTGGATGATATCCCTTGTTAGCAAAGAAGGGAGAAACTCCAGTAGTTGCACTTGGTGTGTAGTTGAAAGTAAACTCTGCTAGAGGTAACAGCTCAGCCCAGTTGTCTTGTTGGTAGTTGCAGTAGACACTTCAGGTAACCATTTTTCATAAGCATTTAGGCTGAATAGTTTCTCCAAACCATCCAGCCTAATAGCCTCCCAGACCAAGGTCTGCCCAGGGACATCTGGTCATGTCCCAGGGCTATGCAGATTTTTAGGCCCTGGGACAGATGGGATTTCCCACATAGCCATCCATTCAAATACAATTATTTGGGATGTCCCAAGACTGCCTTGGGTGACTGGGGTCCCTACTCCTGAAAGTGCAGCTTATATTAGCATTGAAATAGCTGCAGACATCCTAGCCCCCTTGCTCCTCTGACAGATTTAATCCACAAAGTATCCTTTGACCTATACATCCCCTCCCATCCCACCATGCATAGTAGTATACAATAGTACTTTTCATGTACATCTTTGCAATGTGATTCTGCTGTATTGGGACATCTCACTAGTTGCCAGGGAGATGACCCACCTGGGCCTCCACATTTGCCTTGAAAATTGCAATAATAAATTCAATCAATTTGTGTCTATACCTCATGCAATTTGTACTGTATGAAGGAAGAAGTGAATGGTTTTTGAACACTTGTGTGACAAGCCAATATCTCAAAGTCCCCCACATAGAACATGGTGTTGGTCACCTTTGCAACACCATCTGCAGAGGGCAGAATGTCCCAGATGAGCCTCTGAGGTCATCATGGGGCATTGTGCTGGTCTGCAAAGGTAACTTAGGAGGATGTGCCATCATAGCCTGCTGAGGCTGGGATGGGACATCCCACTGACTTTCATAAGGGGACTTGGGATGTCCCACAGCAGCCTCCAAGGCTGCCTTGGGACATCCCACCCTCCCCTTTGCCAACCAGTGGGATGTCCCACAACAGCCTCCAAGGCTACATTGGGACATCCTACTGTTCCCTCTGCCAAGCAGTGGGATGTCCCACAACAGCCTCTAAGGCTATGTTGGGATGTCCCACCCTCCCCTTTGCTAAGCAGTGGGATGTCCCACAACAGCCTCCAAGCCTACATTGGGACATCCCACCCTCCCCACTGCCAACCAGTGGGATGTCCCCAAACAGCCTCTAAGCCTACATTGGGACATCCCACCCTCCCCTTTTCCAACCAGTGGGATGTCCCACAACAGCCTCTAAGGCTATATTGGGACATCCCATCCTCCCCTCTGGCAACCAGAGGGATGTCCCAACACAGCCTCTAAGGTGTTGAAGTAGTAATCTGCACTAATCCTACAAGCACCATAGAGAATCCAATGCAAGGTAGCTCCATGGTCAGAGCAGCTGCTTGACACTGAGAGGGTCCTGGCTCAATGCCAGTTCTGGTCACATTTTCATCAGGTTATGAGCTGCAGCTGGAACCCATGCATGCTCAGTACAATGGGTCATGCAGCATCCTTAGTAAGTCTAGATCATGTGAGTTACATGGACACAAGGTGGCTGATAGTAAGGCCTCCTGGAAACACAGCAGTAAATCCTGATCCATCACATGACACAAGGTCAAAAGGCAATCAGACCATTTGCATGACCCTAGGGGGTGTGCACTGTTTTTACACTCCAAAAGTGGCCAGATGAAGGGACCACATTGGAGATGGTGCATTCTGTGCATTAACTTCATGGAGATATGTTCCCACAGTGCTAGTCTAAGCCCCCAAGCTACTGACACTAGTACCCAGACCATATGGCTCAGTGGTTGCAGCACCTGGTAAACACCTAGGAGGTCACTGGTTCAATCTTAGGACTGGTCACATTTTCCTCATAAGGCTACTTTGGGACATCCCTCCCCCCCTCTGGCAAGCAGTGGGATGTCCCACAACAGCCTCTAAAGCTACATTGGGACATCCCTCCCCCCCTCTGGCAAGCAGTGGGATGTCCCATGACAGCCTCTAAAGCTACATTGGGACATCCCTCCCCCCCCTCTGGCAAGCAGTGGGATGTCCCATGACAGCCTCTAAGGCTACATTGGGACATCCCTCCCCCCCCTCTGGCAAGCAGTGGGATGTCCCTTGACAGCCTCTAAGGCTACATTGGGACATCCCTCCCCCCCTCTGGCAAGCAGTGGGATGTCCCACAACAGCCTCTAAGGCTACATTGGGACATCCCTCCCCCCCTCTGGCAAGCAGTGGGATGTCCCACAACAGCCTCTAAGGCTACATTGGGACATCCCTCCCCCCCTCTGGCAACCAGTGGGATGTCCCACAGCAGCCTCTGAGCAAGTGGGGAATGGTGCATTGCTCTTCACATAGTCTTGTTCCCATGTCACTGGTTTACCCCCATGCTACTGATATTAGTACCTGGACAATATATATTTGCTCAACTGTTAGAGCACTGTTTATCACCTAAGAGGTTGCTTCAATCCCAGCTCTGGTCACATGTCCATCATAAGGCTACATTGGGACATCCATCAAACCTCTCCTCATTAACACTATCAATATATATAACATGACCACCCTGCACCATGCTGTGCAGTTCTTCATCACTTGCACCCCAGTTCTCATTAGGTGTTCCAGGATAGCCTCTAAGTTGCCTCTTCCACAAGATGCACAGACCTGCTAGTCTCAATGCTCTGCAGTCAAGTTCATATGCAAGATCAACATCTGCAATGTGTGTTAGTCATGGTAATGCAATGACACATGTCTCTTACCAGCACTCTGTCTGGTTTTCTGCACACAACCCCACTCTTCAGAAAACCACTCTGTCAAAGCTCTTCTTTCCTGCAACAGGTGCCTTTCCTCTTCTTCACACTGCCTCAGCTCAAGAAGTGATCTGATCCCTGAGCACACTTTTTCATCAGCTAACCATGGGGGTAGTAACCCATCTGAATCATCCCCAAGGCCAATATCCTACCAAATATCATCATCCACATCCAGTTTGAACAAAGAGTCCCTTGGGATCAGGAGTGGGGCTATTGACCCCTGAGGAGCTTTTCCTTTGTGTATGAGGCCTACAATTTGCAGACACAGATTATTGTAGCTACTGGCAAGCTTGGCTATTCCTGGTTCTCATCGCTTCACAGATGCTTCTGTGTGGTTTTGAAGTCTTTGTTCTTCAAGGCAAGTCAAATACAAGGGTATTCATGAATGATGACCTCTTACCACTGAGAGTCTGCCAATATGAGCATTCCAGTCTTGCCAACTCAAACTTTCATTGGTGCAGATGATCTCTGATACGTTTCTTGATTGCTAATGCATGCATGCAAAGCTATGGAACATGGTCTCAATTAGATGAAACCATGTAGAAAATACACTGCCACTAACTTGAAGATAAGCACTCTTTTGGATGCTAGCAAGATTTGAATGCCCATTTATGCCTAGGGTTGCCCTCTGGTTCTGCAAAGCTTCTTTAAAACACTTAACCTTTTGATGACACTCTGCAATTTGGATATTCAAGCTTGTCATGTCAGCAACCCCATGGAGAAGATCTTTCTTCAGCACTTCTAGCTTGGCCTTAATAATTATTGTTCAGTCCTCTGCATCATGCATATGATACCCTTTTTTAGTGTCAATGATGCATTGTCTGCTCATTTACATGAGGTAAGTTGTCACTGACCTTACATTGCAGACTGCAATCCTGTGCATACACAGACTGCAGCTGCTTACATGCTAGGGTGGTGGCCCCCCCATTCTTAGTGCACCTGGCCAGTGTGCTATTGTAATGGGGGGTTAAATTTTGTCTTTGAGTCTGTGCCTGCTGTGCAGGCCAGCAATTTGGGACTGGGGGCTTTGTCCATACCAGCTTTGCTGGTTGGCACTTTTTCAAAGCCTGCCCTCTTGCCAGGGCAGGTTAAGGGTACTGGGGGATGGCTTCTGCCATGTATTGTCTGTTGAAAATTGTTGTCTTCATTGCTAAACCTTGGTAAGCATAGGGCATTGATTTGTGTTCTGTTATGCTAACACTTGGTACTTTAGTCTTCAAGTATTTGTTGTAAGTTTTTGACATTTGTACTATTTAGGTACTGATATGCCCTTCAGCAGTGTAGTAGTTTGATATGGGGTACTGTTCAAATGTCAAGTTTTTTATTTTCTCATGAGAACTTGCTGCCATTCTGGGGGAGGGCCCCCTCTGGATTGGTGGTGGAGTCTCAGTTCCTTTGGGAACTTATTGTTGTAATTCTTAGTAGTACTTGTTATATGAGTGTAATGTGTGTAATTTTTACTTGAAAATGCAATGATTGTTGTAGGAATTACCCTTGTTTTTTTGAGTGTTTAAGGTCCTAATCCTAACCCTAAGCACAACACTTGATTGAGCAATGAGTCCTTCCCCAGGCACCAGGGACATTGCCTTATACAGTCTAATTCTAGGCTTAAAATTTTACTCTCCCCCTGCTTTCCCTGCCATCACTCCATTTGACATCATCCCCCCCTTATGGCTGCTTTGCCCCTTACTGATCCTGCCCTGTCTGCCCTTCTTGACCAGATTTTGACATCTGCTCTGGGGGGATCCAAACTCTCATCCAGCCAGGTGTTAGAGAGAGATGACCTCAGGAAGCCAAGGCAAGGTTTTGTGGACTCCCCATCCCCTGGGGGAAGGACTGATGGAGTCTCATAGCCTTAGAGTACTGTCCAAATTGAACCATCTGGTAAAATCTATGTCAGGGGAAGATCTTCCCAAGACATCCATTTCTGACTTGGAACTCCAACTTTCTGCCCTTGTGATTGCCCATGTGATCCTTAACCCTTGTGAGCCCTTTCTCTGGGTGCTCTGCACCCCATTTCTCAAGTCTCATGGCAGATGTCACCCAGTGGGATGGTGATTGGTTTGCTGACCCCATAAGAGGGGTCAAGGCCAAATATTACAAACCTCCACAATGGGGGCATATCTAGGACCCTGCCATGGTCCTCAATCACCACAGCAGGGTATTGGTGTGGTATCTCCCTGGCATCATGCCTTCCCAAAGGGTGGTCAGTCCATTTTTCTCTTAGTCCTTCCTGCACTTATCCCACCTAGGAATATTTTAATCAAATTCATCTTCCCCTGAAAGATGTACTGGTTAAGGAGGCCTGAAACAAGAATCCTTCCAACAAAAGGTTTGGCCACAGACATGTGCCCCAAACAGATCCAAATGATGGTGCCCTTGATGTCCCTCCAGTCTTGGAAGGGGTGTTCAGTCATGGCAGGCTTATGAATTCTCCTGCCACTTTCCAGCAGGCTCACCAGGTCTTCTGTTTGTCCATCTGGTCCAGGTCCTCAGGCTGATGCCTCTTGCAGAGATTGGAGGACCCCATCTACTAAAGTTCTAGTCTGGGAGTGGTCCTGTGAAGCAATGGCTCAGAGACATTGCCTATGCAGAGGACTTCTGGAACTCCATTTGCAAGGTGGTACTGCCATATCTGGCCCAAGTTGGCAAGGATGCCATGCAAGCCAAAGAAGACTTGGTTGTGACCAAAAATCCTTCCCAAACCTTGTGGCCTTCCATCTATGTTGGCATAGATGTCATAGTCAACCAAACAACTCCTCTCCACACTGACCAAATCTCTGCACCCTCTCTTTTGGATTTGGTGGTCAGCCTGGGAACCCATAGTGCTAAATTCCATGTTCCAGATCTGGGCACCACATTTTTAATTATCCCCCAGGCACTATGATTTACCTTGCAGGCAAAATCCTCCTACACTCTGTACCAAGCTGGGAAAAAGGGGAAAGGATAGCACTTGCTCACTACATGAAGGATGCTGTCCATAACTGATTTGGAGTAGCCAGACCTGCTTTCACCCAACAGAAGGACCTTCTAGGGAAGTTTTTGCAGGGATAGCTCCAGCTTGTATGTACTGGAATGCATTTCAATGTTATGCCTATGTCTTTCCTAGGCAGCTTTGACTCCAAAGGTATCTTTGTCATTCCTAGCCAAAATCATTCCTAGCTGATGCCATTACTAGCCAATGTCATGCCTAGCTGGTGTCCATTGGAGTTTCCTTGGGGGATGGCTGACAGTTTGAAAAAAAAAAACTCTGCTGCCTCAGCATGCAAAGACAACAGTACAGAGTACTGGGAAAGAGCTCTGGTGGCCTGTATACCTTTCAGCCCACCAAGACCAGATGAGGAAAGCTTGCCTACAAGAAGGTGGATGCCAGCCCCTTGTACCTCCCATCTCAGAGTGGACCTTCCACTCCAAGGACCCCCAGGGCTACAGCCTCACAGCATGTAGACTCCTCTGACTTCTCAGTCCCCCTTGACATCCCTGCCTCCCACTGGAATGAGGGAGATGATGCCCTGAAGACCAAGAGGGTTACCAAGGTAAGTAGTTTGACTTCCATGCTGTATGATGGATGGGCTAAAACCTCACACAGAGTCAGGGTGACTTCATCAGAGAATGGCTTCCCTGGAGAACAGACTATCTCAAAGTCATTCTGGAGGGAGAGCAGCTGGCTAAGGGAGGAATATGTGAGCAGTGTAGTCAGGCAGAGGGGAGTATCAGATGCATGTCCTGCATCAGTGTCCATGCCTGGTGTGGCCCCTGTGCTGTGGAAGCCCACCAAAATCTTCCCTTCCACAAGGTACAAAAGTGGAATGGTACCCATTACCAGGCCACTTCCTTGATAGAACTTGGGTTCCTTTGGAACATTGGCCATGGTGGTCTGCCTTGCCCTCACAATGAGGTGATTCCAATGCAGAATCCAGATCCAGGGGAATCTGGCTACCTTTCTGGAGAAGGGCCACCCAATTACAGGTCAGTGGCATTTATTTCCTGCAGCCTTATGATAACCTTTGGTACCAGGAGATCCTCCTGGTCACAAATGACCATATTGCATTCAGAAGGAATTTTCACCCATGAGATTTGTTGGTGCAGCTGTCCTGGGTCTGATGCCACAGATTGGCACCTTCATTTACTCAGGGAAAGACTCCTTCCAGCCAGCATAACGAAGCCCAGAACTGCTTTCACCTGTGATGTCCTTAATCACTTTCTTATCAATGCTTTGGAGTGCAAAACCTCTGCCATGAGTTTCTATCAGAAGCTGAAGAGGTTTACCAATAATGCTTTTCCATAATGGGTACCAGTTGAGTGCCATTCCCCATTCAACAGCTTGCATTAACATTTTTCTTGGGATCAGGGTGGGTACAGGGAGCTCATGAGGGTGTCCCATCAGTGGAGGGATTTGAAACATAGGAAATGGTTTGGGTTTGGTCATGATTCAGAGAAAGATCCTAGACAAGGAAGGCTTGCACTCTTTTGCCCTGCCTGCCCACAACCAGGTATCAATTTACCTCCAGACTGGAGAACCCAATACAGCAGGTATGGAGCCATGATCCATAGGGATTCCATTCCTAACCCCCTTCAGTGATACTGTGATGAGGCAATATGTGGTGGATGGCAACTTCACTGCACAGCATATGAAGATGAACAAACCAGAGTTGGATGTGTCATTGTCAGATGGAAAAGGCTACATGGTTTCTGAGGCACCCTATCAGGCTCATCTCCAGCAGTCTTTGGATAACAGGGAGGTGAGTCATCAGAAGCCTGAAGATCTTCAGGTTTTAAAGACCCACCATTCTGTTGGAGATCCACCTGCAGCAGTCACAGGGCTGTCAATGCTGCCAATATCAACAAGTCTAACCTCTGGTCCACTGGCATCAGTGCAATAGCTTGTGCAAGACATGGTTGCTTCATTCCCCATTCAGTGGTGGATCTTCAAAAAGGGGAAAGGTGAGTGGGCTTGTCACATGGGATGGGTGCCTTCCAGACTCCATTTGGGCCAGGTATATGAACATGGATTACTCCATCTGCAATGCTCTTGATTACCATTCTCAGAGCATCCAAAAGGCCCTTGTCATTTATGATGTAGGGTGCCAATGGAGCATCAACTTTCAGAGTCAGGTAAAGTCAGGCTCCTCTCTCCTTCTTCCCCCTGGTCTGGAAATCATTCCTGCTGTGGGGAAGTTTCATTTGGCTGCCCACAAACTCTCTTGCTTCCCAAGGTATAGCCTCAACTTTGTCAAGGGTGCTGGCCATCCTGACAGTGAGATTTTGGAGACATTGTAGGCTCCATTCAATAAGATCTCTCCAACTGCAAGGTCTATGACTCAAGCCCACAGACAAGAAGTGTATGATGACCATATGAGAGATTCTAACTGGAAAAAAATTGTGGGCATAGGTGAGAGAGCTTCTCTTCCACAAGCAGAAAATTTACCCTGTCAATCTCAGTCCCATCCTTGCTGAAAAAAATACAAGACTTCAAACAAGCATTTTGAGGAAATGAATCAAGCATACAAGGAGTTGACTGTTGCCCTAGACCCTAGTAAGGTTACACAATGGGAATTGGATGCTCTGGAAGCAGAGAGGGAAAGAGGGGAGGCCTATTTGTTGAAAGGGGACAAACATCAGTCAGTTCCTCCAAACCTTGTGCTTGTCTGATCTGATGTAGCCCCAACCATGGGTGAAGTGCAGTTGAAGCTCATGCAAAATCCCTCCTCATCCTCAGCAAACCATGGTTCTGTGGCTTGGCTTGCAGAAGGGATTAGCATAGAAGATGCACAGTAAGTCTGGGGGTTCCCTGAGGTGATAGTTTGCTAACTAGACTGAATACAGGGACCAGCTAAGATCTGAGCTCCAGAGACTTCCCAGCCTCATGTCTACCAGACAGGAAGTCAAAGTCTCTGAGAAGAGACAGAGACTTTCTGCCCAAATTGAGAAATTCAATGCAACAGGACAAGCATTTCTCAAAGGTTTGGAGGTGGATGATGTTGTCACTGCCCAGGATGATCCAGCATTTCTGGGGCAAGATGATGTGGAGGATGAAGTGGAAGATGAAAGAGAGTTTTGGGAAGATGATGATGAGGACTGGGAGGCAGCAGAGGAGGAAGGAGACCTGGCTGTGGAAGTCATGAGTATCTGGATGCCATCTTCCATTGGAACAACCAAACTGATGGAGCTTGGCCTTCATGCCCTTGTCAAAGAAGAAATGGAACTTAGGATTGGGCAGGCTAATGATTGCTTAGATCAGCTCCAAACAGACCTGGGAAACAAGGCAATGTTGTACAGGCAGAATTTCTGGAATGCAGGTTCCACCAGGGAGGGCACCAGAACCAAGAAGGAGATCCAAAAGGTGGTGTCTCAGATAAATAAGCATGCCAGAAGTTATCAGAGGTCAAGGTAGGCCATCCTCCAGCTGGAGCCAGCTGATTGCATCAGAGAAAAGTACCAAGAAATTCTTCCTTAGGACCTTAGGGTGAGTAAGGATGTGACAGAGGAGAACAGGTTTGGTCAGGGGACCAGTAAAATGGCATGGTTTTGGATGATGGATGGTGAGCAGGGTCAGCTGACTTTAGATAGCAGGGGCTTGATGGAAGAGTGTAAGTGTGAATACTGCATAGAGACATATTGCTAATAATTTCTGGGGCAGTCTACAGGATTAATTTGCTCAAAGCAAGGGCAAGAAGGGACAGATGGAAAGAAGAGTTGTCATTGGTCAGGCATGAGATGCTTTGGAGCACCTTATGGTTCAAGTCCAAGAAGAACAGATGGGAGAAAAGGGCTGAGCAATCTTTGGAGCCAGGGACAGAAGCTTATGCTAATAAGCAGATGGGGTTGTGGGGTGATTTTGCCAAAAAGGCCAGGTTGATGTTCCAAGGTGAACAGATAGATTGTACTTAGAACAGGGGTATGTTTCCATCTGCCCTTCTTGGCTTGGAGGGCTGCATCAAAGTGAAAGGTAAATATGTCAAGACAAACATACCAAAATGGTAGTTTCCCTAAAAGAGTGATGGCTGCTGACAGCCAACATTTTCAACCTCCAGCCTACATTGGGAAGGGCTGAAAAAATTTCACCTTGCCATCAAATCCAACCAAACCTCTACTCCATTATTCACTTCCCTGTGATTTGACTCAATGGCTGACTGGTCTGAAGCCTATTCTGATCCCCTGTCTTCTTATATAGGCAAGTTCAAAGATGCCCAAGGAAATTCTGAGCTCAGGGCAGAGATCCTTCAGCATGCATCTGAGGGATCTGTGGCACTGCCACAGAATTTGAGAGTGGTATGATATTTTTTTTCACCAAGCCTGACATATCTCAAGATTATCTAGGCCATCAGAAGGCACTTTTTGCCAAAACTAGACCCAAATGACCAGGATGACAAGGAGAAAATCATCCAGCACATCCTGGCTGTAGGTGAAAAGAAGGAAGAGAGTGGTGAGGGTGAGGATGCCAGAGAGGAGAGAGCCAGACCTGTGAAGGCAGGTGACTACAGAAAGGCCTTTGCCAAATTTACTGCAGGCCAGCAGCTCTTCAAGGAGGACATGGATGCCTATGATAGGGAGAGGAGGGACACTAAGGACCCCAAGACCATAGGCCAGAGGACAAAAATCATCCAACAGTGGTGGGAATCTGTTTCTGAGGAGAAAAAAGCTGAAGCTGGGAGGGCAGCTGTGAAGTGGAATAAGTTGGGTGCTCCTAGAGAGACTCATGATTCATAGGTGATATTCAAGTTGGAATGCCTTCTACTGACTCTGCAAATACACAGGTACCAGAGAAAGAACTTCCCTGGCATGGCTAGAGAGTTCATGGACACAGTTCAGAGAACCATGGGCTGCCATATAGTGATGTTTGCAGCACACCAGACCCCTGATTCACAGATCAAGATGGTAGTGTAAGTTGCCCTTCCCCTGGCCTATCTCAATGCTGATGATGAGATCTAGCTCTGAGACACAACTCCCTGATGGGAACAAGGTCTTCTCCCAGTCTTCTGAGGCCACAAAGGATTGGGTGGTGAAGGGGGAGGATATGTTGTCTGAATATCTTTTGAAGGAACCTGGTAAGAGTGGACTGTTGTCTATCAATATATGTACCTAGTTTCATCCTACCCTTAGTGGAATGTTAAGTCCAGGTCTTCACCAGTCCAAAGCTGGGCTGGAGTCTGGTCAGGGGTCAGAGGATAATATGAGATACTAAGGGGGTTGGACTGTTGGACTTAGTGACTGAAGGTGCAGCACTATTCCCTTGCATGGGCCATATCTGGTTGAGAGGCAGGAGACAGAGAACAGAGGGACTGGGTTAAGACAAGACTAGGTTGATTTCAGACTGAGGCTAAACAGATTATCCTACAGCTTAAATACTAGAGGTAACCTAAGTGTACTGTAGCACTGGAGACTGGTTCATGCCAGTACAGTGATGGTTAGTAAACAGATTAGTAAGTAATGTTACAAAGAATATTATCAAGAAAAAGTATGAACAAAGGGATTACCAGGAACCAGGGCAGGACCTGTGGCTGGGCCAGGTGTTACACTTGCCTGGTACCAACTGAGTGGACAACTCAATTGGGCACTGCCTTGCAGTGCCTCATGAGCTAACATGTTTCTGGGTCTAAGGGTAAAGGCCAGGACCAGGGCAAGGGTTGGATGAGGCCAGTCAAGACCAGGGTAGAGCAGGTCTAGGGTGGTCTGGACACAGTCATGACAGTATCCCCCTCTTGGAGCCAAGCCCATGAGGCTCCAATGAGGACAATGCTGAGAACAAACATTTTGTGTCTGACCTTGAAAACTAGTGGACTTAAGACCAGTCCACCACCTCAGGTTTGGTTCTTCACTTCAACATGTCTATTTGCCAGTCCAGAACACCATATGATCAAGACCTGCTGCCTGACCTGACCTGGGTGATGAGCGAAGAGCTGCAAGTGGGCAGCAACAATGACAACCAAGCAATCTGGGGCAAGTTGGCTGAGTGCAAGAGGTGCAAAGCGAAGGCCCAAGAGGAAGCCTGGCTCACTGAGGAGGCCTGGTTGGAGGTGGAGAGACAAGAGAAAGCCCAGCTCAAGGAAGAGAGGGCACATACAGAGGCTGAGGTGCAGAGGGTAGAGGCTGCATGCAAAGCTGATGAGGCAAGAAGGGCAGAGGAGAGCTGGTGGGCAGATGCCCTGGTAGGTGGGTTGACTGGGGCCAAGTCAAATGTGGAGGTGATGAACCCCCAGTGAGTAATGACCAAGTGACTGGTAGTTGACCAGCTGACCACTTCCCAGGTGTCTTCATTGTGCCTGGACAAATATGACTTGTCTGTGCAACACTGATGGCAAGAAGAAGCACCTTGCCTGCAACTGGTGCAACAAGCTCAAGGAGCATTGCCAGTGGCCAGTCAAAGGTGAGACTGGTCCAGGTGCCAGTCCAGCTGTGGACAAGGGAAAGAGGAAAGTGGATGTGACCTCCCCCCATGCTGGTGAGAAGAAAAAGAGGTTGAGGCAGCCATCTGCCAAGGTACTCAAGGGCACAGGTAATGAGGAAGAAGACATGGGTGAGGGGCCATTGACAAAGAAGACCAGTGAAGAGACTGGGGCCAGTCCTCTCACCAGTGATCAGATGGAGCATCTGATCAAAGCAGTAGAGTGCATGGCTGACATTGTGGTTGGCCTAGCAGTGGCCCAGAGGGAGGCCTCAAGGAATTTTCACTGGTTTACCTGGTCCCATGAAACCTACATCAAAGAGCACTTCAAGTTTCTGGTGCCAGATGTGCCTTCAGACCAGGACACCACTGACAAAGAGGACAGGGATGTCAAGGGGCTCAACAAAGAGCTGGCAGGGCTGAGGGAGGAAGAAGGGGAAAGCCAGTCCTGGTCTGAGTCAGGTGATCAGACCAGTGCTGGTTCTGCTGAATCCCAAGTCTGATGTTGTGCACATAGAATAGTGTTGTTTTTTCTGTACACTTGTGAATGCCAATGCCTGGTTCTGGTTCTAAAGTATGAAAGAAAGCAAATAAAAGAAAGTAAGGGCAGTCAAGACATGGTAACTACAAGATAGGAGAAACAGATAAGGAGAAAAGAAAACTTGAGACTGATTCTAGATTTTTTCTTGAAAGGACCAGGTTTGTCTGGGTACTGGTCATGGTATTCTTGGACAAGTTCAGAGGCATTGTCCAGCTCTGTTGCTAGTACCCAGGTGGTTTCTTTGTCAGTTCCCTTATTACCAGTCCACCAGACCAGGTACTGCAACCAACACTTTCTGTGCCAGTTGACCTTTGAATCAAGTATTTCTGCTACCTTGAATTCTAAGTCACTGTCAACATCTACTGGTGGGGGTGGAGGTTGAGTCCAGTTGGGTATGGTATTTGGGATGGCCAGTTTGAGTTGGGATATGTGGAAGACAGGGTGTACAGTGTGCATAGAGTCTGGTAAGTGTAGGGTGAACAAGGGAGAACTGGCCTGGGCTATTATGGGGTATGGCCCAAGCTTCTTCTCACTCAACTTCTTGGAGGGCTGGGTTGACCAGAAATACTTGGCTTTTACATAGACATTGTCACCTACTTTGAAGTCCAGGGCTGGCATGTGCTTAGCATCTGCTGGTACTTGGTAGCATTGCTGGGCAAGAGCTATTTCTTCATGAAAGTATTGGTGCAGTGAGTCTAAGTCAACTGCATAATCACAAGCCTGGTTGGATGTGAGATTGCACTCAGGGAAGACCAAGATATTAGGGTGGTAACCCTTATTAGTGAAGAAGGGTGATACCCCAGTCATAGTGCTGGGTGCATTGTTGTAAGCAAATTCAGCCAATGGTAGTAACTTGGCCCAGCTATCCCATGGGTAGTTACAGTAGACCCAGAGATATTGTTTGAGGGTCTGGTTGGTGTGCTCTGTCTGACCATCCCCCTCTGGGTGATACCCATAGGTGAAGTGTAGACACATGTCTAGAGCTTTACCAAGAGACTGGAAGAAGTGGGATACAAATTCTGATCCCTGGTCTGAGGTTACATGGGCTGGTACACCATGCTTGGAGAACACATGCATGAGGAAGAGCTTGGTGAGCTCAGGGGCTGTGATGGTGTCATGAGTAGGTATGAAAATGGCATGCTTCAAAAGCCAGTCAACCACAACAAGGATGGCAGTAAAGCCAGTTGAGGCTGGGAGTTGCTCTATGAAATCCATCAAAATGGAATTCCATGGCTTCTCTGGCACAGGGAGTTGTTTGAGTAGGCCATAAGGCCAGTGGCAGGGTACCTTTGCCTGGGCACAGGTAGTACAAGACCAGACATAGTCTTTGACAAATGTCCTTAGGCTGGGCCAGGTGTATTCATGCCAGATGAGTTCTAAGGTTCTATTTTGGCTGAAGTGGCTGGACAAGGGGTGATCATGTTTGAACCTCAAGACACAAAGGTGAAGGTTGTTAGAGTCTGGTACATAGATTCTTCCATCTAGGCAGAGGAAGCCAGTATCATCAACTGACCACCAGGAATCTGATGTGTCTGAGAACTGGACTTGGGCAACTGGGTCTGAGGGTAGAGCTGAGAGGATATCATTGTGTAACTTCACCACATCCATCAGTGCAACAGCATGTAGGACTGGGTATTCAAGGTAGGTGGCATGCAGGGAGGTGGCTAGTTGTTCCTGCATGAAGACCAGTCTGAGATTCTGTGGGTTGACCCAGGCATAGCTGCTATCCCCCTCTTTGGGGTAGACATCCCATCATCTAGTTAGGGCATCAGGCTTAGCATCGGGTTTACTGGGTCTGAACTGGATAACCATATTGAACTGTGACAAAAACTCAGACCAGTGCACCTGGCACCAGGTTAATACCTTCAAGGTGGAGAAATACTCCAGGTTCTTATGATCAGTGACAATGTCAACTGGTACTGCAGAACCTTCCAAGTAATGCTGCCATGTCCAGAATGCCTTGAAGATTGTGGGTAATTCCTTATCATGGGTGTCATAATTTAACTCTGGGGCTGTTAAGGTGTGAGAATAGAATGCAACCAGCTGGATTTGACCATCACCTCCAGTGATGGACAACATGCTGGCTATGGCATAGTCAGATGCATCAGTCTCAACAGTAATAGGAGCATCCAGGGAAAGTGAGTTAGGACCAGGGCAGTGGTGAAGGCCTGCTTGAGTTTGTTGAAAGACCAGCAGCACTCCTCAGAAAAGTTCCAGGGAGCACCTTTGCATGTCAACTGGGTTAGAGGTACCACTATGTCCAAGTAGTTGAAAATGAACTGGTGATAGAAATTGGCAAAGCCCAGGAAGGACTGAATGTCCTTTACCTTCTGGAGCTCAGGCCAGTTGCAGATAGCTTTGACTTTTTCTGAAGACATGGTAAGGCTGTCCAGGGACAAGTGGTAGCCCAGATATTCCAGAGTCCAAGTGGAATTCACACTTCTCTGGTTTGGCATACAGACCATGTAACCAGAGCTGGTGAAGAACCTCCTGGACATGCTGCTTGTGAGAAGGCTCATCTCTGGAATAGATTAAGATGTTTTTGAGGTAGAAAATGATGCAGACATCTAGCATATCTGCAAAGATTGAACTGATGAACTGCTGGAAGGTGGCCAGGGCATTGGTAAGACCGAAAGGCATCACCAACCACTCATAAGACCCATAGTGTGTTCTAAAGGCTGTCTTCCACTCATTGCTGGGTGCAATCCAGATGAGGTGGTATGTGTGCCTCATGTCAATTTTAGTGTAGATTTTGGTGTGACTAGGGGAGTCTGGTAGGTCAGATATTAGTGGTAGGGGGTACTGGTCTTTCTTGGTGAGCTTGTTAAGGCCCTGGAAGTCAGCAGATAACTGGAGTGAACCATCCTTCTTCTTTACAAAGAGGACTGGTGCAGCATAGGGGGAAGAGGTGGGCCAGATGAAACCAGTGGTCAGGTTTTCATCAATGAATGCCTAGAGAGCTTGCAGCTCAACCAGGGATGGCAAGTACATGGTTCCAATGGGTGGTGTAGTACCCTCTTCCAATTCAATCTTAAGGTCATACTCCCAGTGTGGGGGGAGAGTAGATGCCTTGGCTTTGCTAAAGACATCAGCAAAGTTGTGGTAGTCCTTTGGTACACTGGCCAGGTCCAGTGGGTGTAAATGAAGTTGCAATTGGGTAGATCCCTCTAGCTTGCAAGCATGTACATACACAGCTGCATTGATCAGAGAAATAGGGGGAGCTTTCAGGGGAGTGTGAACTGGTGGGTCAACAGATGGTACAGATGGCATAGGGCCAGGGTTGGGTTGGTCAGGTAGACCAGGATTGGGAAGACTGGTTAAGACTGGTGTGGCAGGGGGTGTTGACAGGGTTAGCATTCTTCCTGTAGATGTCTGGAAAGTTAGACTGCTCAGTACCCAATCAATCAACAGATTGTAGTGGGTGAGCCAGTCATGTCCAAGGACTATCTTACATTCAGAATCCAATGGGGCTAGAAACAGGGTTACCAGGGTGACATCACCAGTCACAAATTGAACCAAAAGACCTACTGCTTGAGTGATAATGAAACTTGACAACCCATCAAAGAGCTGGAGTTGGATAGGGGACATGGGGTAAGGGGCAAACAAATGTTGATTAACAAATTCTTTATCTATGAAGCTATGTGTGGAACTGGAGTCCACTAGAGTATGAAACTGGGGCAAATTGTGACTGACAATAGAAACATTGGGAGTCAATGAATTTGGATTAGAAAGAGTGGACACATTGAGATGAGCCTCTGTGGGTGCACAGCCAGAGTCAATGCAGCTCTCAGTCTTTGCAGAGTCCTGAGAGCTGCTACCTATTTTTTTGCCTCAGTGGCAGAGCCCAAGGTTGACACCAGTGCTGCCTCAGAGGTGGCCACAGTGTGAGCTTTGGCTTTCCTGGCTTTCTTGGGGCACTTATCTGCAAACTGTCTGGTACCCCCACAGAACATGCAAAGGTTGTTATCTCTGTGACACTTGCACTCCTCCAGTGTCAGCTTGCTGTCTTTGTCCAACTTGCTTGAGTCTGGCTTGGGTGTGTTAGAGCTGGTCTGACCAGTTGAGGCAGGTTTGGACAAGGGCTGGCTACTGGAGTTGCCATTTCCAGAATTATTGCTGGTCTTGGATTTCTCTTGACCAGGCTTGGACTGGGTGCTGTGACCAGGGTTGGGAGTCGACTTGTTACCAGAGGATGACCCCTGGTGCTTACTGGACCACTGAATCTCCTCTTTGTGCTCCCAGTAATGTGTGTCAATTGCCTGAGCTAGGTGGCAAAGCTTGTGCAGGGTTCTTGGTTTGCCAACCTGGCAGACCTCATCTTTGATATAGTCAGGGAGACTGGTGTAGAAGAAGTGGTGCAGAGCACCATCACTGTATCCCCAGACTTGTGAAGCAAGCTGGTTGAATTCAACCATGTACTTGTTGACCTGGTGATTGTCTTTCATCTGAAGGTGGTCTAGCTGGCTTTCAGCATTGGCCACTGGGTCATGGGGTCCAAAGGTGGTCTGGAGCTCTATAATGAACTCCTTCCAAGAGTCCATCCAATAAGGCCAGTCCTCTGGGTCTTCAGTCCCAAGTAGGTCCAGTTCAAACCACTTGAGGGCCATTCCTTTCAAGAATGACTGCATGAAAGTGACTTTGGCTTGATCACTTCAAAAGGCCCAGGGCTGTTCCTGGAAGTTGAGTTCACATTGGATAAGAAAAGTGTGCAGCTTCTTTGGGTCTGTCCCATTGAAGGTGTCCAGTTCACACAACTTGGTTCTAGAAGAGGACTCAGAACCAGTGTGAGCATTTCATGTGAGAAACTCAATGGCTTTAGCAAGGTTGTCCAGCATGGTTACCCCAGGCTTGACATCATCTTCTGGGAGGGGCTCTTCATCATCATTATCCAGGTCATTGCCAGGACCATCATTGCTGGGGTCATCACCACTGGGATTGAAGTCATCTGGTTTGTCTGGGTCTGGTTCATCATCCAGATCATTAGTGGGTGCAGGAGGTCGATTAGGAGTGGGTGAAGTGGATTTACAGGCTGAGAAACCCCTGGGGTTGTCAACTTCACTGGGTGACCTTCTGGCTGTCCCTAAGGACACCAGGACAGTGGCATGGTGCAAGTCAACTGCTGAGGTGGAATCTGGATTGGTGGTAGCATGTGCCTGTGCTGCTTGAGTTCTGGTCTGGGTAGGCATGCCAAGGGTGTGATACTGAGGTTTGGACAGAAGGGTAGTGACCCACACAAGTGTGAGTCTGAAATACTGTTAAGTCCAGGTCTTCACCAGTCCAAAGCTGGGCTGGAGTCTGGTCAGGGGTCAGAGGATAATATGAGATACTAAGGGGGTTGGACTGTTGGACTTAGCAACTGAAGGTGCAGCACTATTCCCTTGCATGGGCTGTAATCTGGTCAAGAGGCAGGAGACAGAGAACAGAGGGACTGGGTTAAGACAAGACTAGGTTGATTTCAGACTGAGGCTAAACAGACTATCCTACAGCTTAAATACTAGAGGTAACCTAAGTGTAACATAGCACCAGGGACCAGTTTGCACTGGTATGGTGATGGTTGGTAAATAGATTGGTAAGTAATGTTACAAAGAATATTATCAAGCAAAAGTATGAACAAAGGGACTACCAGGAACTGGGGCAGGACCTGTGGCTGGGCCAGGTGTTACACTGGCCTGGTACCAACTGAGTACACAACTTGATTGGGCACTGCCTTGCAGTGCCTCATGAGCTAACATGTTTCTGGGTCTAAGGGTAAAGGCCAGGACCAGGGCAAGGGTTGGATGAGGCCAGTCTAGGGTGGTCTGGACATGGTCATGACATGGAACCAGATTGCAATGAGGAGAAACAAGAGGTGGAAATAGTCCTTGATGATGAAGGAAACCCCCTGGTGCCTCCTTTGACTGGTCAGGAGCTCAAGGTTCAGCAGAGTTTGGCTAGAGCTGTCTTCCAAGCTGCCTATGGTATGTTCCTGATAACCCCATGCATCTGGAGTGGCTGACTGAAGTTGGAAATATAGCAAAATTTACTGGAAAGGCCAAGGCCAAAATTTCCTGGGGCTTGCTTATCAAGTCCCCTTCGGAGTATCTGGATTCATATTCCATCCCAGAGGGATTTGTGATGAAGGATCCTTCCAAGTGGACCAAGGCTGGCCTTAGGTTGCTTTGGAACCATTGGCATTCCTTAGAGGATGATGATAAGGTGATTGTTGCATTTATCAAGTGCAAAAAGGATGATGAGCCTTTGGGAAGGCCCTTTGTTCAGAAATATGCCTCTAAAAAGAGTGTGTGGGTGAGCCCTGAGGGGGACAGTGAAGCTGGTGTGTAGCCCAGTGGAGTGGCTGGGGCATCAGACTCAGAGGCAGAGGTGGACACAGGCATGGGTAAGCAATCCCAGGTAACTTCTTTGGAGGACCAAATTAGGCTCAACTCCCTGGCCTCCTCATCTCAAAAAAAACCTCATGACTCCAGCCCTGCATGGCATGCTGATGGGGACCAGATCAAATTTTTAAAGTCACTTTGTGTCATGCCCAGGTACCAGGAGCATATTGATCTTGTATATGCCTTACTAGAGACAGTAAGTGGCAATGTGGCATTGAACATGGGGCTAATGAACAAATTTTGCAGGAACCTGATATGGAACCCACCTCCCCATTACCTGAATGGGCATCCTGGACTTGGAGTGCCCAGTATCTACCCCAAGAGATCCATATCCAGGGGGATTCCTTCTGGAAGGCACTGGGTCAATTGCAATCAGAAAGGTTTGCTTGCATGTCAAAAGGTGTTCCTGTGGTACTTGGATTTGGTATCTTGTGGAGGGAGTGTAAGCAGGCACAGGAAGTGGAAGAGGATGACCCAGAAGTTGTCAATCTGGGCTGCTTGCTGAACTCCAAGCTTGACATCAACAGAGGGGAAGATGTTATGGCTGCCATGGGGGTGGTGATTTCAAGGCTTCAGCAAAATTCAGGTGACTCAGAGGGGGTGGGAGGCACTGAAAAAATCATGGGAGGAGATACAGAGGACTTCAGTGGTTATGGGAAGGGTGGTGAGGAGAAGGATACACAGGATAACAGGAAAAGGAAAAGGAAAAGGGGAGGCAGTGAGAATGTCAAGAGGAAGAAGAAGATGACAAGGGGGGTTTCAGGGGAGGATGGGGGTCAGGGGAAAGAGAGCAAGAGATCTAGCAGAAAGAGGCAGCCAAGCAAGAGAGCTCTGGGACAGGCCTGATAGATATAATGTAGATGTTGAAACTTTCAGGGGATTCTTGGAAAATGGAAGCTTGCCTGCTGCTGGTAACATCTACATTGACAAGTGACTGATTATGCAGTTAGGTCAGCAGATATCACCTGCAGGAGGTGGGACCATCCAAGAGTGAGGTGGGCTGATCCCACCTTCAGGGGGTGGGACCATCCACCAGTGAGGTCAGCTGATCCCACCTTCAGAGGGTGGGATCATTTGTTGGTCAGCCTATCCTTCATCAGGGGCAACTGGCCAAGATCAGTTAGTGCCACCTTTAGGGCAAAATGTACACTTTGGATGTCCCAGTTTCAGGACTATGGTTGACTGAACTATGTGGAGGGAACAGTGTAGTTACTGTGCAGTATGTGTGCTCTAATGGCTTATATAAGCAGCCAAACATCCCACCAAAGTAAGCAGAACACAGGGGAGAATATGTCTCTGACACACCTCCATAAGCTCCACTGTGTAAATAAGTGGAATAGCAGAAAATAGAACTTGAAAGAATGTGTACTAAATACTCCAATAAAATGAGTGTAATTTGTATATTGAGCTTCAAGTCCATAGTTTGAGGTGCACATTGTTCCCATTTGGGTAATGCTCTACTTGTGTGCACTTTGTGCTCTGCCACATCACTGTGCAAGTGCTGTATGATGTTTGTGTGGGCTGTTGATGGTGCACATCAACATAGGGTGCACCCCTGCCATAGGTAGGCACTAGCAACATCCAGAGGAGTCCTGAAATGTCATGAGAGTGTCCATGAGGTAACTTGAGTTGCCTTGAGGGCAGCATTGGCTGCATAGTGTGTGCTTTGGCTTGCATGGGCTTTTCTGACATTTTGCAGGTATAATTTTGTCTTTCCATGTCAATGCCAAGTCCTGTAGGGTTGAGGGACCTGTGCAATACAGTCCAGAGGTGGGTTCAGGTGGCACAGGTGAGCTGTTCAGCCACATTCAGTCTTGCTTTTGAATGTACTGACTCTGGATGCCAGTTAGCAACCCCATCTCTGTTCCATTTGAGCAGATGGTGTTGCCCTTTGTTGTGCCATCCTCTTCGCTGCTGTAGTGCTCATCATTGGCTTCCTTTGGCCAAATTTCTGCTTCTGGTGAGTTGCCTCATCTTGGTTTGAACACTGATCACTCTTATCTCCAGCTTCATCATCACTCTCCCACCATCCTCAACCATCCTCCCAGTGGGAGGTACTCCCTCTGTCTTTGCCTACATTTTCAGTCTCATCAACTGAGATGATCCATGCATACTGACCTTTGTAGGTCTCTTGTTGCATCACAGGTGTGTGATCTCACTTGGGTTGTGGCCACTCAGCCTCTTTCAGATCCTTGAGGAGTTTTGGCTCATCAGCAGGAACTACCTGGTTTGAAGGGGCCATTTGCACTTTGTGAGGATGCAGTAAGGCAATTTCTCCATTATCAAACATTCACACTTTTGCTAACTTCCACTCCATGTTTGTGAAAGTGCTGACCAGGTCAGATTGATGAATGGATAAGTTTGGGGCTGTGGCATGAATGTGTGGAGGGTCAGGTACATTGACAATGGCATTATTGCACATCTGTATGCAACAATCATTCAGAATGATTGTGAGGCCATGTGAGAGGTCTGTTGGCTCACAGGTGGGTACAGGTATGTCCAGCATCACTAGGATCTCATATCCAGGGTACTGACTGCCATTGTCAGGTGTGCTGGTGTCCTTTGTATGGCTGGTTGGCATCTCAGAGCCTGTGGACTGAGCCTCATGCCTGTCTGGCTCCTCTATTTAGTCCATCCCTTTGACCCCTGACTGTTCTACAGCTGTAGAGTAGCTTTCTTCATTCTTGTTCTCATTCAAAATACCTGTACAGTCACCTGCCACCTTACTTTGTATGTCTACCACTTCAGCCTCAGGTATTGTGTGCCTGGTGGTCTTGGTACAGTTGTTAAGGACCACTGTGGGCTGCCCATCAGCCTCAGTGTTTGCAAAGTCATCTGTGTGAGTTTTGGAGTGATTGCATGCATGTTGGCTAGACACAGTTCTGGTGAGTGTCCTGTCATGTTCCTAGGCATGACACCAACTGAGTGGCTTTGGGATTTCACCATAGTGATATTCAAGGTATGAAAAGCATTTGACAGGGGCACCAAGTGTGCTAAGGAGAGGATGGAATCAGGTAGGCTGAAAGTGATCAAGAGATTGACCATCAAGTGCTGATGGTGCCATATGTCATCAGCAGCTTGCCAGGTTGCTAGCTCATCTCATTCCTCATTGGACTGTGGTGCCCAGCCTTGGCCATGTCTGTTGTGCTGTTCTGGATGTGTTGGTCATGTTTCAGACCCCAGTAGGATACCTATTAGGCCTTCTTCATCAATGGCTTCAAGGACCCAACTGCCATAGTTGGTCCAGTTCTGGCCATGCTCTCTGAGCTCAGGTGGACCCATTTGGTAGCTGATAATGCCATAGGGATGGTTGGAGTCCACTAGGCTCTTCCAAGGGTGAAGCAAGACCCAGACTGCACTCCAGACAATGACTGCAACTACCATGACTACTCCTACTGCTAAGCATGTGACCACATAAGTGCCATGTGACCAAAAATGGTAAGAGGGTGGCCCAAGGTGTAACAGCAAGCCTTTAGTTTGCTTGTTAAATGTAGACAGTAGATTGAGACAGGAGCTAGTGGGCTCAACTGAACTTTGTGTGTGAGAGAAGAAGTGTTTGAACCAAGAGTCTACAGCAACAACTCATAGGTTTACATACATGAGGGAGTGTGCACAGACCATGTTGCACTATCTCTGTAAGTATTACTATACTAGGAAACCTCATAATCTGTATAGTAAAGAACATCATGGAACTTCATAGAAGAAGTGGAGTGATTCCTCATGTATCAGTCATATGTAATGATGCTGAGTGTGCTAGTCACATGACCAATTATTCAAATAAGTAGTATATCATATGCATGTATTTCCAACATCAAGTACCCAACTCCTCTCTACTTGGACAATCAATCCACCATCTCACTGACTAAGGATGGATGTTACCACATGTATACATAACACATAGGTATGTATATGCTATCATTTTATTCATTTTTTTGTTGATAGTCATTCTTTCCATCTCACTTATTGCCCTGCTGGTGATATGGTTGCTGATACCCTTACAAAAGTGTTACTTACTGTCAACACAAAGCATTTTGCTGCTTCACTTGCTTGGACCACATACCATTCAAGGGGGATTGTTAGGTTTCCAAACATAGTATGCATCTTGATTACATAATCATGTTGAAGTCTTCTTCACCTCCATACCATAGCACACCTCAGTGGCTTCACTGTCTACTGAGGTGAGTGTGCCTACTATACCCTTTGTTATCCATTAGTAAATCTCTGATTTTGGCACAGTACTCACAGGATGTCACAGTGGCCACAGTCATCACAGGGTGTCACAGGTCACCCACAGTGTAATGGTCCCATGGCTAGCATGGCCCACACCATCATAGCTTAAGTGCCATTCTGGTGCTTAGCACTTGCCAGGTACAATATGTTCTCCATTTGGATAGATTGCACAAATCTCAGATACAGTACTTGGTCATACAAGTAGATAATCTTATTGTATCATTGATTGTTGTTCAAGACTAAGCATGGGCACTGTGTTTGCATGGGTTTGTCCATCCATTGTCCAAAAAAAAGGTAATCCACCCTTACATCCAACTACAGTACAGACTGGTATTATATCACATCAATCTCACCTTTTTCGAAAGACTTGCTGATGTCAAAGCAGCTGCAGGTCTTTTGGTGAGTCCTCAATGTTACACTTGACTGAAGTCAAGATGTAGGGAGAGCTCAAATGCAGACTATGGGTTTCTACTGAGCAACTGCTGCAGCAACCTCTGTAAATGACAGAGGATTTGGACAACACTGGTAAGAGTGATCCAGGTTAAGGACACTGAGGGTGAAGTTCTGAGAGAATGCTGCATATGATTGAGCAGCTCAAGTCTGGGTCTCCAGGACTTGAGCTGACAGACTAAATACTGTACAAAGAATGGACCATGAGGTGTCCATATGTATCAAGGTTATTACACCATTGGTTGAACAATGGCAACACATGTCCTAAGCATGTAACAAGCAGATAATGCTAGTGGTGGGAATAGAGAGCTGTCAGATCACAGAGAAGGCAGCTCAAAAAGGAAAAGTAGTCCATTGGATCAAACACAAGGTAACCATGAAGAGAAAAAGAGAAAGACAGGGGTGAAACATAACATTACCCCCCTTCTAAGTGTTGAAGTCTCTGACTTCAACTACTCTCTGTAAGGTTCACCAGTCATGTTGCTGATGGCAGAGTCATCAAAGTCAAAATCATTGTCATATAAATCATCATCCTCACTCCTGATGAGGGTACAAACATCTACCACTCCTGGGGTGGTGATGCTTTCTTGTAACACATGGTGAGGGTGCAGAGAGGGGCATTGAGCCTGGGTATGTCCAGGGCAAGTAGTGTGACAAAGGGGACACTCATAGAGTCCACAATTGACATGGATGTGTCCAAGGTGATGACAGACATAACATGTTTGTTGATATTGTGGATCAGAGGGGGTGAGAGGATGATCAACCTCAGCTATTGCATTCAGGACAGGGGACAGTGTGAGTCAAAGTGTGGTTCAGTGGTGAAAACCGACCAAAACCAACACAAAAGACAAGAAGAGTGAGTGGGGGTGAGCCTATGCGGTACCTAGATGGTAGAACCTTGGATTTGGGTGGGTTTTTGCGAGCTACAACACTCAAAGACAAGTGCTGAGGGTTGGGGGTGCTCCTGACAAAGAAGGAGCAGGAATGCAAGAGAATGCAATAGGGTAGACTGCTGTCAGCCTACAGAAGGATGGATGGCAACTTAATTTGATGTCCTAAGCTGCACTGAGCTCAGGGAGGGCTTGGAGTGAAGTATATTGATGATAGACAAGGATAAGCAAAGTAGATGATAGTTAGACCCTTAATAAAGTCTCAACTATTGAAGC